CTGTGGGGTAGGGGGACAGAGTGGGTGAGGAGCTGACAAAGCTGGGGGGCGGTGAGCATGCCAATATTATTGATAATAATAGCCTAAGATATTTGTATAAGGCAATTACTGTTGTGTGTTTTTTAAAGCCCTCTTATACACGTTATCCTTTTTGATATTCACAGAGGTAGACAGAGGGCCTAGACAGGGTAGTGTCAAGGGAGGAGGGAGTAACAAGCCTCCTCCCCCACCCTCCCCCCAATTTATAAGCTATTCCTACCAGCCCTGAGAAGATTTGAATCCCACCCCCCACACACTAATTTCATCACTCTCCCCAGGATGGGCAAGTGGGCCTCTCCACCCACTTCCTTCCCACTTGCCACCCACAGAGTATCAAGAATATTAGAGCTAACCTGACCTATAGGAAATGAGGGCATAGTCACGCACTTGCTATCAGAAGGCTCTTCTGGGGCAGAGAGAACAACCATGTTGTGTGTCATCTCAGAAGATAGCACCTATACAAAGTCCATTGGTTTGGTAAATGTTATTGAATACCTGTTAAGTGCTAGGCCCTGTGCTGGGTAACAAGGATATAACAGTGGACCAGACATGGTCCCTAGCTTCTAAGAGCTCTAAGTCTTTGTTGGAGACAGAAGGTTTTCACACAGCATGATTAGTGGAGTAAGACAGAAACAGAAAGGCGCATGGGAGCACAAAGGATGGTACCAAACCTGGGGTGGGAGGGAGACAAGGAAGATTTCCTGGAGGAGAAGCCTGAACTGGGTCTTAAAAGATGAACAGGTATTTGCAGGAAGACCAAGGTGGGAGTGGGGTTGGAGAGAGAGATTGGGGCTCATATGAAAAGAATCTGCCCTTAGTTTAGTGGGGGAAACCCCTTGAAGGGCCATGAGCTTGGTGCTTGGTTCTGGGCACATTCAAGGAAGTCAAGGTGACTACCTGTTCTGTCTTTTCCTCTCGGGAAGTATATGATTGTGTTAAATCAAAGGCAGACGCTGTGCCAGAGAAGAGCAGTGGGCTTCCTGGGCCCCAGTGGGCCAGGCCTTCTCCTCACCAACACCATTTTCACTGCCTTACCTTGCCCTTGGTGGAAACCCAAGCCAGTCACCCTATCAACCAGGACCTGCCCATGTCCATGCACCCCACACCCTACCTTCCTCGCCCAAGCCCTATTGACAGATCCCTCAGAATCTGAAGGAATTCAAGACAAATGGTTAAGAGGATGGAGTTAATAAAATTTGAAAAATTGAGGCCTGTCACTCCACTAAACTTTTTTCAATACCACTGACAGAAACATATTTCCCCAATGAGTGACCTTCCACAGCTGTAGCGGGCAGGCGCAGCCGCAGCAGTGCTGCCAGGAAGCCAGTCTGCTATTTATCAAATATTATAAGCTGGGACACACTAATCTGGAGCAGGGAGAGGAGGGGAGGGGTCCTGCACTATACTGCCTGGGGTGCTCCAGGTGTTGGCCCCAGCCCCAGACAGCCAGTGGGAGGTGACGGATGGCCTGCGATTAGCACTCCCCACCTCCATCCAGCCCTCTCACTTGCTCCCAGAGGCCTGACCCTCTAGACCAGCTGCTCGGCCTGGAGGGGCCCTGGGTGGGAGGCAAGGGGAGGTCAGGCCAGGGCACGGGCCATCCTGATGCCCCCGGAGAGGGCAGGAGGGTGAGGCCCAACGTGGTTATTTATTGGAGTGTAATGGTTTGTGGCCGTTGGTCGTGAAGGTGAAATCGATCAGTTGTAGAAGTCAGGTTCTATCAATTATTACAGCAATTAGTCAAGTCAGAGCATTAGAGCAAGAGTGTGGGGGCTGGGGGCTAATACTAGATGGACATTATCCATGGTGCCCCTGCCTCAGCCTTCCTAAAGTGGGAGCAGACATGCTACCCTGAGGCTCCAGAACCTTGGGGAAACTCTACTGGCTTTCCCCCTTAGAATTGGCTGGGGCAGGGCCTGACTGAGAGCTTCCTGGGCTGGAGATGGGCCCAGCACTGCTTAAAAGGCATCTCTGTGCTGACTGGCCCAGGTGCAGAGATGTCCTACCTGTCCCCATCCCATTCTTTATGAGAAGTGACACGGCTCGTACTAGAAATTACTCAGTGGCCAATGTTTATGGCACACATTTTTCATTCTGTAAGCAAATATAGATCACTGACAGCACTTGTTTGAAGCAGTTCATCTCACCCTCAGTTCTCCCACTGTCTTTCTCTCTCACCTTGTCTTTCTCTTCCCCCTCCCCTTCTTTCCCATTTTCCCCCTCTTCCTTATCGATTTCTCTTCTTCTTTTTGCCATTCTTGTCTTTCCTTTCTAGAGGTCTCTCCCTGATCACCCTTCCATTCCAGCCCATATTTAGTGACTGCCTCCCCTGGAGGCTACCAAAGACACCCTCCTTACTAGGACTGTTGTACTTTATCTTATAAGCAGTGAAAAGCCACTGAAGGATTTTTCAGCAGGAATTTGTCATGACCTCCCTGATGGAAGTGTGGAGAACTGGAGTTAAGAAAATCTGGGGTGGGTTTGACTCCTGGTCTAAGGAAATAACCAGCTTTTTTACCTTGGACTACTGATTTCACTTCTCTGCACCCAGTTTTCATGTCTGTAGCATGGGACAGTTCCTACCCTCAGGATGATTGTTAGGATTAAATGCTATAATATATATAAAGTGCCTGGCATAGAGTAAGTGCTTTGTGAATACCAGGGGCTGGTATCACCACTTCTAGTTATATATCCAAAAGATATGAAAACGTGCATCCATATAAAGACTTGTACACAGATATTCATAGCAGCATTCATAATGGCTAAAGGGGGAAAACCCAGATGTCCATCAGCTGGTGAATGGATAAACAACATGTGGTATATCCACACAATAGACTATTATTCAGGCATAAAAAGGAATGGAGTACATGCTGCATTCATGTGGTAGCATGAGTAACACATGCTACCACACGGATGGACCTTGAAAACATAATGCTAAGTGAAAGAAGCTAGACACAAGAGGCCACATATTGTATGATCCCATTTATATGAAATGTCAAGTATAGGCAAATCTTTAGAGACAGAAAGTAGACAGTGGTTGCTGGGGTGGGGGGGAATGGGGAGGAGGTGGCCTCGGATAATGGTTATGGGATTTCTTTTTGAGATAATGAAAATGATCTGGAAATTAGATAGTGGTAATGGTTTTACTACTTTGTAAATATATTTAAAACCACTGAATTGTATACTTTAAAAAGATTTGTGAATTATTATATCTCAATTTAAATCTATATGTATATTTTGTAGCAAATTCCTATTAGAAAATAGGGTTGTGTATAAAAGTATGAATTTTTTTATTCATAATAAGTTTTCTTGGCCTGGATCCTACTTTCTGCTCTCTGCCCTTTCCCCTCCTCTTCCCATACCTTTTCCTCTGCAGCCCAGAAAGACAGCCACATGTAAATGCTTAATAAATACTTGCTATTGCTTATAAGTTTATAGACCTTTAAGAAGCAGAGAGCTTCTATAGGAATGGTTTTATATCATGATATAAATGTTTCCACAGTCTGGGATTGAGAGATGCTGATTTTTACTGTCCATCGACAAACAACAGCAGGACACACTGACACAGTCTTGTCTGTGTATTTAATGTCCCCAGCCAGTCAGTTACATCCTTATGGCAGAGGCTGAGTCTTGACCTTTCTTTACTTCTAGACAACACTTCCCTAGGAAGAAAGATCAAGGAATGTTCCTTTTAACACATAGTACTTGACCATCTGCCCTGTTGAAGGCACAGCTTTCTTATGTTTCTCTCTTCCTGTCTTGAGAGGAGTGCCTTTGGAGCAGGGCCAGATCTGATTCTTCTGTGTCCCAAAGCCCTGCTCATTTAAGGCTTGCCAAATTGAATGGAATGGAAGTTTTTGAAGAGGAGAGTGAGGTGCTTAGACCTGGGTTTTGGAAAAGAGATTCTGACAGCCTAGGGGAGAGTAGCCTTTCCTTCATAACTGCCAAGCCCTTGCACACAGTAAACACTATATAGGCTCAACAGCTGCTGGCACTTAAAAGAGGGAGGAGGTAGATGCATGGCCCCAGGCAAGCCCCTTCTTTTTGTCATACTTAAAGTTCTATGTCCTCAAATTACAGGAACTAATGATTGGAGGGAAGCCTGCCCACATGCACACACTCACCAACAACTAGCATTGGTAAGAGCCTCAAACAGAACTCTGGGCTTGCACAGCCAGGTTGCTGGGGATGGCCACGCCCTTCCAGAGGACTCAGCTGACTGGCAGGCATGAAGTGCCAGAGAGAAAAGAGCATTAAGAGAGACAGGAGCAGAGAGCAGAAAGAAGGGGGCCTTTTCATTGTTATTTGGGACATTCTGTGCTTTAGAAAGGAACCCTTTTATATGATTTTTATGAGTAAATATTCATCTGTATACAAATGAGTTGGATAAAAGGAATTTTTTTTAAATTTTCATTTATTGATTTTAGATAGAGAGAGGGAAAAAAAAATCAACTTGTTGTTCCACTTATTTACACATTCATTGGTTGCTGCTTGTATGTGCCCTGACCGGAAATCGAACCTGCAACCTTGGCGTATTGGGATGACGCCCTAACCAACTGAGCTACCCAGCCAGGACATAACAGGAATATTTTAATGACATGCATTGGTGTGAGGGTATATTAATCTATGTGTTTGGCACATTTGTTAGCATATTTAGCTGTGAGTATTTGTATGTGCACAGCACACCTGTGTGTGTGTAACATCTATGTGTGTGTAGTATGTGTAGTATGTTTCAGCACATGTGGGAGCCCCAATACTCTGACCTCTATACCAGAGAGGACTAAGAACTCTCCTCTCAGTAGCTTGACATGTTCTTCCCACCATTCTACAGTCTCTTAGGTTTCTGTTGTTCTATGTTCCCATGGGCATTCGTAACACTAATATCAGGGTCCAAGCCACCTCTGAGGTCCCACTGATTGCTCATAGAGCCTCTGATGACCTCTTTCTCCTCTTCATGCCAGGAGCCAACCCCCTACAGAGGAATGAAATGGGACACACACCCTTGGATTATGCCCGAGAAGGGGAAGTGATGAAGCTTCTAAGGACTTCTGAAGCCAAGGTAAGTTTCAGAGAAAGGAAAAGGCCTGTGGGCACTCTGTGAGGCATTCAGTCTTTCACTCATTAAATTGTGTCAGGCTTCACACTTCCTCTTAGGTGATTATTGTCTGTTTCAAACAAATCCAACTCCCAATCTCAATAAGAATAGGAATCTGTTCCTGTTGTGACCAGGAAGAAGCCTTAGCCACTTTTTGCTTCTAAGGATTAACCTTCAAATTTAATTTTTGAGGCGATGGACCTTTAGGTCCTCTTCATAGGAGGGGAGCAAGTGAGACAAACTCTTCAGCCCAGGCTTTGTTTCCCCAGGCCTCATGTATTCTATAGCCTCATCAAGCAATCCTTTCCTGTCACCATTCCTCTAGAACCTTTCTGTGACCCCTCCTCTCCACACACACTCCAGAGAACCATATACAGTCTGAGACCCCCAAAAACCTTCATCTTAATTTCATCTTCTCACCCAAACTTTTGAATTCCCTAAAAAAAGGGCCACTTTCTGCTCCTCCCAGCCACTGAACTGTAACTTAGGAGCTACTTGGCACAATCCAAGAACTAGAGTCACAAATCTCAGAGATGGCAGGGACCTCAGGAATCATCAAGTCCAATGATGGGAAATCATACCAAGGCCACACCAAATAAGTCAGAGGAAAGAAAATAGTGCGGTTCTGGTTGAAGGAGAGGAAGACCTGTTTCTTCACTGGCCTGTCCCTTCTTCCCTCCTGAGCACACTCCTTGGAGGCTCTGCTGTGGGGCAAACATTTTAAATCTCTGAAATCAAATGACTCATTTTACTTCTAGGGAAACTGGAGCCCAGAGTTATGATATGGCTTGTCTTTGGTCCAGAGTAAGTTAGCATTGAGGTTCTAGAGGAATGGTGACAGGAAAGGATTGCTAGTTCCTGACCTTTTCTTATCCTCTTTCCAGCATCATGGAGTCTCCTGTGGCAAATTGGCTGAAGTGCCCTTAGATGATTCAGTGTAGCAGGTCCCACCTAGTGGCAAATATTCTCTGTGTCTTGAGTAAAAGCACTTAGGTCACTGGACTGAGATAGACAGGCTGTGGGTTGTGATCCCACCTCCACCATTTACTGACTGGGTGATCTTGGGCTAGTACTTTTCCTCACTGAAGCTCTATTTACCTCTTTGAAATGAAAACAATGGACTAGATGGTTTCTAAGTTTCCATTCAATATACATTTGTCTGTGTGTCAGTCAAGATAAACATATTACGCTGTTGTAATAACCCCAAATTTCAGTTGTTTAAAACAACAAAGATTTATTTTTGCCTCATGTTGCATGTTCACTGTGGGTCAGTAGTAGCGGAGTGCTCTGCTCATTACAGGCACTCACGGACCCCAGTGCAGAGCAACCACCCGATGGAACATTGCTGGTTGCTTGGGAAAGGAATATTCTGGAAGACTTGCATCTACAGTTAAATGCTCAGCATTGAAGTAGAACCCTCTGCTTCCACTCACAACTCACTGGACATACTAATACCCTGTTCCTGCCCAATCACAGGGAGACCAAGAATAAACCTACCATGCGCCTAAAAGAGGGGCAACTGGGGCAACTGTAAATATTTCGTAACCAGCATTAACTACAGTTTGTTTCCTTGGTATCCTTAGTAACCGTCTTGCAGTGTTCCCTCCAGAGAAGGGGAGGAGTTAGGAAGGTGGATGGGCTTTCACAACACATTCCAAGGGGCACTTGGGACCAGCAAGGAGCAAAAATTCCACAGAGCAAACACTTCCCTCCCTTTGTTCAGACTTCCCACCCCTAGGAGCAGCCCTGGAAGTCAGGTCAGCTTTCCTGTGTGCCTTAAGGAAGTTCCTAAGCATGTTTCAAATAACCTCAGGGACTGCATCCCAGTCATCATTTCCCCTTTCGGGCCTAATTACTATCCCCTGAGAGCAAGCACTGAACTTGGCCAAGAGTGTAAATGGTTTGTCAGGTGATGTGACATAAAGCAGACTCTGGTCTGGTCATGTAAAGCAAGACAACAGGCCACTTAGTGCCAGCATAGGTGAAGGGGTAGGGCTGCTGAGGGACCCTTAACAACATTCGGCTGCCCATGAAATGGCTTGATGTTGGCCTCAAGGCTTGTGTCCCAAGTTAAGAAATGGCACTTGCGTTCCTTCGTTCCTCTGCCAGTCAGACCCTTCTGGACCACGGAGGGCAGTTGCAGACACTACCTTCTGAGTAGACAGAGCTCTTAGAATCTGTGCAGAGGAGGGCACTAAGGAGGCAAGAGGAACTGTGCCCTGAGAAAAGGCTGAAGGCAATAGGGTCATCTGGCCCTGAGAGGAGAGACCGCACGTAGGCATGGGGACGGCTGTGAGTGGGAGGGGGGAGATTCATTCAGTGGCAAAGCTAAGACAGAGCCAAGCTTAATGAGTGGCAGCTGCAAGGAGGAGCTCCCTAACAGAGCTGTCATACAGTGCAAGGCTAGACAACCACTTAGAGCCAGCCCAGGGCTTCTGTAGCCTCTCAACTAGAAGACTGTTTGTCTTTTGTCTCCTCTCTGCACTTGATCCCTTCATCTAGTCTGAACTTCCTACATGTGGAATGTCCATCTGTCCACTGAGCATCTCTACCTGATTGCTCTGCCCTTCCATCAGATCCTAACTAGCTGAACTGCCTCTCTGCTCTCCCTGGATGTCAGCATCATTGTCTTCCTCTCAGTTGCTTAGCATCTATGTGCTCACCCATTCTTTCTGCTGTTGTTTTCCTCCAAGCTGCAAAAACTATGTCTTCAAAATTGTAAGGCAGAGTTTCTGGGGAAGAGCACTGCTTTAGACCTACGTTCTGTGTCCCTCTGCCAGTAAGTAAGCAGCAGCTGCTCCTGAGTTCAGGCCAAAGTTCATAACGTAACGACTCAGGCCTGAAGGGTGTTGAGGCTCCAGCTGGAGACCACATCTCCTGTCTCTCTATGTAGACGTGAGTTACCACCACTGGTCTGATCTTATGCCTCTTCTCTCTGTCCCACATCCTCTGCCACCCAGCTCATGCTCCTCCACCTTCACCTTCCACTGCACAGTCAAATATGTGCTCATTATAGAAAATCTGTAATTATAAAAGTTCTCTCTCCCATCCTGGAAAATTAGGAAAGTAAAATAAGAGAATTGAATAATTCGGTACATATTTATAAATGACACCTGTATACCAGGCTCTGGGCTGTGTTGGAAGAAGACAGATGGTGAAACACTGAAGGAGTTCACAGTCTGACAAAGAGACAGGCAAGTGAAACCATGACACCACTGATTCATCAGTTCCAGGGAAGCCCTGGAACTGAAAGCCCAGAGACGGCCTCTAATCCTGCCTGGGAGATCAAGGAAGGCCTCCTGGAAGAGATGTCAACTAGCTGAATCTCAATTAAAAGCATTCTAGCCCTTCTCCATATATATAACTGCTATTAATATTTTTAATTATTTATAATAATAGTAGGTACCGTTTGTCTGGTATATCCAGGCACTATGCCCAGGTGCTCTAATATATATTTTTTCTAACCCTACAACAAATCTATGAAGCAGCTCTTATTATTGCCATTTTACAGATAGGAAACTGAAGCTGAAAGAAAGAAAGCAGGCGGCTCACAGAAAATCAAGTTGTTATAAGTAACTATTGAGATATAAATCAGAGATTTCCTCTTATGATACTATATTTACTTTTTCTGGACCATACCTATATATGTTTATATAGATGGACTTTTTGTATACACCAGGGATCTCAAACTGGCAGCCATGTTTTATTTTGCCAACCCAGAATTTTTTAAAATGTGAATGTAATGCTTTAGAGGTTGGAGCTTGGACTCTCTAGCCATAGGTTTTCCCATTCCCTGTTGTATGTGCTTGCCTGCCAGACATTTATATTTCCTACTTGGCTCTCAAGGTGTTTAAGTTATGATCCTAGTTCCTCATTTGGAATCTGCTTTATTCACTTAATGTTATTTCTTGATGATTTTCCTACTTTAAAATTATCTATTAGCCTAATGTTTCATTTTATTCTGCCTTTTAAAAGGTGTTGCTTATCTAAAACTTGTCATCTTAATTGACCTAAATGAGTTTCTTTTCACTGTTGGTTTACTCAGTTCTCTCAGCCTCCTTGGGACATCCGAGAACATCCAGAAGTGAATGAAGCCCAGCTCCTGTCCCCTGAGCTGGCCATATGGGACAGGAGGGTGGGGAGAGGCAGGTGCTCCTGGCTCTCATATCCACAGACTGACTTGTGCCTTAGGGGAGAGGTCTACACAGAGTTTGCAGGGCTCCAAGAAAGCATGGATCTCCTCCAGGTAGAATGAGCAGGGCAGGCTTCACAGAGGAGGTAGCCTGTGGTCTCACTTTGAAGGATTTCACCAGATGGAGAGTTTAATACTTAAAGCTTAGACCATTTTCATGTCTTAACTAAGTGACGAAGGAGAGGTAGAAATATATCTCTGTGCACATGATGGCAGATAAAACAAAAATATGGGGAGCTATTCCATGATGAATATTCAGCTGAGGGGGACGTGCTGGTGCCAGCCCGCATCTCCACTCCCAGATCCTCACTCCACTGAGACTCACGAGGAATTTATTGCTCATTTTAATCACACCCAGAGAATGAATTGGCAGGAATATTAGGCAGATAGACCTATCATATATATTTTATTTGCATATCCCAGTGACAGAATCACAAGCACATTTTCTATCTCTATATTTTTTCATTTGCTTCAGGGGTAGCTGGGGATGCAATGCTCCCCTGGGCCCCCATGCAAGGCTGTGAGCCTGGGTGCTCCCATCAGAGCTGAAAGAAGCTTTCTGGGAGGGAAGGGGTGAGGTATGCAGCAGGGTTGTGTTCCTCCTGGTTTAGGGTGAAGAGAAACCTCTTCCCTTCCTTGCCTAGCCTATTCCCTGCTGCACATCTCATTTTGAGTGCCGGTGCCTGGCCCTGTGCTTGGTCCTATGGGGATGAAAACACGTCTTCATTACAGCTTTACTCTGGGCCAGACACAGCACTCTATGCTTTATGGG